CTCTCTAAATGGAGGCACGAGTCTTATATACTTACTGACATCAAAACTATCACTAGCGGGTGCATAAGAAAAATCCTCTGTGACTGTACTGCTGGCAGACATTAAGGGTGACCAATGTGGGCCTACTACACGGTGATGGAACTGGCTTTCTAGCCAACCGCTCTGCTTCCAGATCCAATTTACGTAATTGTATATCTTGGTCTGCCTGTTTCTCTACTACTCAAAGCCTAATAATTTCTGCCTCATATTCCTATTTTTTTATCAAAAGATCCATTTCCTTTAGCTTTAAGGCAATCCTAGGATCATGAGGCACAACAGAGTCAGAGCTGAGAGTCACATCTTCGGCTGCAGTTTCCACTGCCACTTCAGACTGAACCTCAATGCTGTCCTCAGACTCTTTAGGCAAAATACCTGCATCTACCAATTTCATAAATAGGTTATCCTTAAGCACTTGTTTTGTAACATATTTTGGCACATCAACATTGAAGAACTCTACTATCAAATTAAGATCTTTTTTCTTACCACAATTAAAGGCTTCAATTGTAGGGCAAAGAGTAAATGCAGTAAAATTAAATTCCATTATCCCTATGCTTACAACACTTTCATTCCCACCCACAGTCGAAAACAGTCAAACAATTTGAGAGAAAAAGAGTACTTACCACCAGCTAATTAAGAGATGAATGGATGAGCCCCCACTTGTTACAAGCTCTCCAAGTCTAGGGTTGGGAGAGGAGGTAACGGGAAAAATGTACCCAAAAATGAGGAACAAATAGAAAACATGGAGGATTCCTTTCAGTCCTCTGCCTCAGAAATGTGACAACCACTTTTTGTAGCAAATAAAATTTGTTTATTTGTTTTTAAAGAAAGTGGAAGCAATTAATCTTCAGGAGAGGGTCTTAGCCAAAACAACAAACAAAAGAGTTACTAACTACCGGGAAGGAGAACTAAATGACCTATACAGGTAGAAGAAAATAAATAAACAACATAAGCTTTAGTGCATGCCAGTACATGCTTTTTGGGAACACCCCATCTCCAGCTGTGGCAATCTTTGGGATAAGATAGGCAGTGGAATTTGGAGAAAAAGAGTATTGTAGAGAAGCCAAACAGTTTGTCCATAGAATTTTTTATGTGGATGATGGCCTAATCTCTGCTTCTAGCACAGCCGAAGCCATCAGTCTCCTGAAAAACACCAAGCTTCAAGATTTCTTCAAATAACATTCAAGTCATGGAAGCATTCTCAAGGATCTGGATTTGAGTGTCGATCCTCTATCTCTCCAACGAAGTTTAGGGTTGAGCTGGAATTTAGAGACTGATTTTTTCACATTTCAAGTATTTCCAGATGTTAGACCATTCACTTGCCGGGGCATACTTTCAACAGTTAACAGCCTCTACGATCCTTTGGTATTTGTTGCCCCTGTTACCATGCAGGGTAAGGCCTTAGTAAGAGAGCTGTCATCAGAGCAGTTTGACTGGGACACACCGCTCCCAACTGATAAGGAGGCCCAATGGAAGGCATGGACAGATTCTTTAACGGATCTCAAAGAAGTCCAGATTCACAGACCCTATGTACCAGTCTCTATGTCCTACGCTTCCAAGAGAAAGGTGGCTTCCACATTGGCCATAGCAGCAGTTGCCTATCTCAGAGTTGTAACTATGAATGGTCAGTGTCACGTTGGGTTTATCATGGATAAATCAAAGTTGGCACCATACCCTGCTCACACAGTGCTGCATCTAGAGCTGTGTGCGGCAGTTGTAGCTGTTGAGCTAGCAGAAGTGATTACAGAAGGGCTGGATCTAGAACTGACCGTAATAAAATTCTACACTGACAGTGGAATTGTCTAGGGTACATCTACAATACATCTCAGCAATTCTATGTGTATGTTGCAAACGAAGTGGCACAAATCAGAAGTTCCACAAAACCAGAACAGTGGTATCATGTTAGTTCAGACCTGAACCCAGTAGACCTCGGTACCAGATTCGTTCCAGCAACCATCTCTGGTCCAGAATTGGAGGTCGAATTGGAGGTTGAATTTGCAGAACTGTCAGAACAGGTGAAACACCCATTAATAATCCCAGCAAGTCAACATGTAGCCACATTATTGTTCAGATACTACAATGATCGGGTGGCACGCCAAGGACAACATCTGACCGCTGGAGCACTATGATCAGCAGGTCTCTGGATTGTAAAAGGAACGAGGCTAATTAACTGTGTGATTCATCAGTGTGTTACTTGCAGGAAGTTAAGAGGAAGACTCGAAGAGCAAAGAATGTCAGGCCTACCTGTGGATAGAGTGACAGTAGATCCACCATTCACTCACGTGGGCCTAGATGTGTTTGGGCCATGGAGCATAATGTCACACCGTACAAGAGGGAGCAGTGCTGATAGGAAAAGATGGGTTGTCATTTTCTCCTGCTTAAGTACAACGGCTGTCCATCTGGAGGTCATCGAGTCCATGTCAACTTCCAGCTTCATTAATGCCCTCAGACGGTTCTTGGCAGTTTGCGGACCAGTTAAACACTTTAGATCTCACAGAAGAACAAATTTCATTGGCGCCTGTTGAGAACTGAACATCGATACTGATGATCCAGAGCTCAAGGGTTACTTGCAGGAGCAAGGTTGCACATGGTCATTTAACACTCCCCACTCTTCCCATATGAAAGAAGTTGGGAAAGGATGATCAACACGGCACGACGCATTCTTGATGCACTGCTGCTAAAAACCAGCCTTTCTTGTCTTACCCATGAGGTCTTGACTACTCTCATATTTGAAGACATGACAATAATGAATGCTAGACCTTTGCTTCATATTTCTTCTGATCCTGACACATTGGAAGTTCTGTCTCCTTCAATGCTTCTCACACAAAAGGCTAGTACTGTACCAGCACCTATTGGGGACTTTGAGATGAAGGACCTCTACAAGAAAGAGTGGAGACAGGTTAAATATCTGGCAGATTCTTTCTGGAAGGCATGGAGAAGGCATGGAGACTTGCAACATTGTACGAAGAAAGTGGACAGAGGAAAAAGGAAACCTTCAAGAAGGGGATGTCGTCCTGCTTAAAGGGTTAGTTCACCCAAAAATGAAAATTAGCCCATAAATTATTCTTCTTTACAAATCCTCATTTTGTACTTCTAATTAGTGACCGTTGTTTTGTTTTGATCTCTCCGCTGTGCTTCCGCGTGCATCACTTCTGAGCGGCGCATGTGCAAAGCTGACCTCATACCTCATCCGCCCGGAACTGCTTCCAGTGTACAACAGTGAGCGCAAGCTACATTAAAGTGATTATTACGTTTTGAATATGGATATTTTTCTTACAAAAACTCATTGATTCACTACAGAAGGCCTTTGTTCACCCCCCGGGGCCGTGTGAGACACTTTTTTTTATGGATGGGCGCATTTGAATTAAGTGCTTTTGGACTGATGCATGCAACACCCGCTGAGTGCCATGAAACAGCTTGAAAGATCAAAGACAATTTTTAATATAACTCCGACTGGATTCGCCTGAAAGAAGAAAGTCATATACACCTAGGATGACTTGAGGGTGGGTAATTTATGGGCTAATTTTCATTTTTCGGTGAACTAACCCTTTAAGGACTCTAATGTGAAAACACACTGAGTGGCCGATTGATAGAGTGAGGAAGGTAGAGGTAAAGATAATTAAAGAAGGATCTGCAAATACCTGGGGCCCATCTCAGAGGTAGTACTACTCCTGCCTGGGAAGTCATAGAAGGAACAATAGGGGTAAAATACATTTTTTAAATATCAGGCGGGGAATGCACTGTTGCATATATCTATTTGTGTTTTTGACCCACCACCTACTGGACATTTAAGTTGCTGGATATTTAACTGCAATGTATGTATATATATATATATATACTGTATATACATACGGTTACTTTCATTTTCTCCCAGTGTACGCAGTCGAGAGCAAGAGCGGTCAAGAGTGGTTCCTTTCTGTGGCAGATTTAATTGTTTAAACCTTAAATAAGTGCTGTATTTTTACTAAACAGTGATACTATGTCCAAGGGTTTATTAGATTGAGATTATTACTGTGTTTTTGTTGTATGCACACTTGAGCTTTGTTGCAAACATGCTATGCTAGCGGTAGAACAAACGTGATAATTTGCTTATATTCCATACAAATTTATGTTTGAATAGAATTTCCTCATATGTATATTACTTTGATATGTATAAAAAGGAACTATATGCATAAGCAAACTGTAATGTTAAACTGGTTAAACTGAACATGTTGTAAATGTGAATGTAATGTTCATACATATTTTTTCTCTTTGTTTGTAGTTTTACAAAAAGATACTGAGAAGAACAATCACCAGTAAAGTTACTAAAGTTACCAAGACTGCTTTCTGGAGTTCTTTTCTGGAGTACACTATCTGTTAAGGCTTTGCTCAAGCAACGCAATTGGTTAGAACAGAATACCCTGTTCTATAGATTTGTTGTCTGTTGTTTGTGTGATTCCTGCTGGCACAGCTGTGAACCAGATAAACCCACCAGAAGACAGTTAGTTCACTTTATTATTCTAATGCTGCACACATAGTTGTCTTTCTAAAATAACTCCTTTTAGTTTTTATTTAGTTTTCTTCCTTTTTTGAATTGCACCACTATGGAATCCTGTTTCCGCCATGAAATAAAATATTAAAAAGGTAAGTGTGACTTTTTACCTGGCAATTCTGACTCTTTTTCTCTCTTTTTTCAGATTTGCAAGATGTAAACTCAGAATTCAAAGAAGAAAAAAAATCTAAATTGTGAGACAAACTCAGAACTCAGAAATACAAACTTGCATCTCACAATTCAGTTTTTTTTTCACCACAGAATAAAAATAATAATAATTGCGACATTTCTTGAATTGCGACAATTCTGACTTTTCTTGCGAATTGTGAGTTTTTATCTTGTAATACTGAAAAAAGTCTGAATTGTGAAAGAAAAACTCAGAATTGACAAATATGACCTTTTTATTTTTATTTTTTTTACTGCGGTGGAAACAAGCTTCCGCACACCACAGAGAAACAGCATCTGAAAATAAAAACAAGTTGTTCTACATGAGCCTCAGCCACTGTTTTGTGTATGAAATATATTGTTTGATGTGGATAAATTAGACCTGACATAACCGTGATTAAACCTGCATGTGATGGATGTGACGCATGCAACAAAGAACATTGATTCTAACATGCACAATAATAAAAAAATAATCACAAGTTTTCAGAACTTGAAGGTGTCGGTGAATCTGATGGTTTTGGGGACATAGGTGAGTCTCACTGAAGGGTCACAGTAATTCATGCTCCTGTACTTTGGTGTTTCTTCTGTTGACAGATGACATGCGTTCTCATCCTTTGTTTGATGGTCCTTCATTTCCACAACCTTCAGCTCAGGTGAAATCTGACCATCAGAAGCACTAATGCTGAGGTCACTTGTACCGTCTGAGGAGAAACGCTGTTCTTGTGGCAGATCTTCTGAGTTCTTCAGTACTCCATGTTTCTGTAGGATCTGTGTGTTCATCTCTAATGTCTGTATGAGAGGTTTTGTTGAGTTCATGTCCAAACAAACCACAGGAGATGAACCGACCAGATGCATCTTGACTCCATTGAGACGCCGATGTCCTGATCTTTCCTCAGCTTGACACTCTCTCAGAGTCGCATCAGCAACACATGCATCCTTCTTTTCTAGACTGAAGGTCTCACTCAGGTCCTGGAGTCTGAGCTCTTTCTGTCCTGCTGAGCCTTTGTCATGCGCTCCTGTAGTTTGACGGCCATGTTCTTGTGAATCGGTTGATTTGTTCTCATGTTGATTTAGTACTTCTTGTGAATTAGTTGATTCGTTCTTGTGTTGCTTTAGTATTTCTTGTGAGTCCGTTGATTTGTTCTTGTGTTGATTTAGTACTTTTTGTGAATCGGATATTTTGTACTTGTGTTGCTTTAATATCTCTTGTGAATCAGTTGATTTGTTCTCATGTTGCTTTCGTGATTCCTGTGAATCAATTGATTCATTCTTCTGTTGCTTTAGTCCTTCTTGTGAATTGGTTGATTTGTTCTTGTGTTGCTTTTGTGCTGCTTGTGAATCAGTTGATTCATTCTTGTGTTGCTTCAGTACTTGTGAATCAATTGATTTGTTCTCATGTTGCTTCTTGTGTTGCTTTAGTGATTCTTGTGAATTATTTGATTTGTTCTTGCGCAGCTTTAGTGCTTCTTTTGAATCGGTTGATTCATTCTTATGTTTCTGTAATGATTCTTGTGCATCGTTTGATTTGTTCTTGTGTTGCTTTTGTGCTTCTTGTGAATCAGTTGATTCGTTCATGTGTTGCTTTAGTGCTTCTTGTGGATCAATTGATTCGTTCATGTGTTGCTTTAGTGCTTCTTGTGAATCAGTTGATTCGTTCATGTGTTGCTTTAGTGCTTCTTGTGGATCAATTGATTCGTTCATGTGTTGCTTTAGTGCTTCTTGTGAATCAGTTGATTCGTTCATGTGTTGCTTTAGTGCTTCTTGTGGATCAATTGATTCGTTCATGTGTTGCTTTAGTGCTTCTTGTGAATCAGTTGATTCGTTCATGTGTTTCTTTAGTGCTTCTTGTGGATCAATTGATTTGTTCTTGTGTTCCTTTTGTTCTTCTTGTGAATCAGTTGATTTATTCTCGTGTTGCTCTAGTGGTTCTTGTACATAATTTGATTTGTTCTGTTGCTTTAGTCTTTCTTGTGAATCAGTTGATTCATTCTTGTGTTGCTTTAGTGCTTCTTGTGAATTGGTTGATTCATTCTTGTGTTTCTGTAGTGATTCTTGTTCGTTGTTTGATTTGTTCTTGTGTTGCTTTAGTGCTTCTTGTGAATAAGTTGATTCATTCTTGTGTTGCTTTAGTGTTTCTTGTGAATCGGTTGATTCATTCTTGTCTTGCTTAAGTACTAGTGAATCAATTGATTTGTTCTCGTATTGCTTTAGTGCTTCTTTTGAATCGGTTGATATGTACTCATATTGCTTTAGTGCTTCTTTGAAATTGGTCGATTCGTTCTTGTGTTGCTTTAATATTTCTTGTGAATTGGTTGATTTGTTCTCGTGTTGCTTTAGTGTCTCTTGTGAATCAGTTGATTCATTCTTGTGTCTCTTGTTCTTGTGTGTAGAATCGTTTCTGCTCTGCTCCGTCACTAGTGTCTCAAATCTCTTGATTAAACTGCTGAACATGGTTCTGCCTGTTCGTCTGTTTGTTTGTGGTTTCTTTATGTTGTTGTTCTCTGCTGCTGTAAATCTCTCCAGCATGTTCTGAACCCTGGAGGTTTTTCTCTTCATCCCGGGTCTTGAATCAGCTCTCAGCCTGTTTGTGTCTTTAATATGTCGTTCTTTCGTGTTCAGAGAGCCCACCTCTCTTCTGTGGGTGAGCGCTGGCTTTGGCATGCTCCTCAGAAACTTAGATCTGAGCAGCTGGAAGGCAGTGAGACGTGGACCGGCTCTTCCTAAGGCTGCTGACGGAGAGTTTGGTAGGTCTTGGTTTTGGTAAAGCAGCAGATTCTCTAGAATGGCCCTGACCTCCGGATGTGTTGCGCGATCCAGGATCAGCTGTTTCAAGGCTCGCCGATCCAGGGTTGGGATGATGGAGAGCTGCTGCTTATCTCTCTGAGCTCTGTGGAATAAAAGTGTTTTCTGTGCACTCAGAAAGGAGTGACACAACCTATATGTGACTTCTTATGTACAGAATCACATTGAATCAGCTAAAGGGAAGAGTTTATGACTAGTTACGCATTGAGATCAGGTAGTGGACGTTATCCAGAAAGATTAACGCAGCTAGTTAAAAGTCTTTAAGATTTTAGGAAAAGTGTTTCACATGCATTAGAGTCACTGAAGAGAGCATAAAAATGACTTCAAATTAATCTTTAATCTGTGAATGAATGCTCAAGTTGAACTCTGTGAGGGTTAGTCACCGAACATCACTTTGACCACACCCCCTTTCTCCTAAGCCCCACCCTCCACAGATATAACAGCCAACCCAGTGTCAGAAGACATGATTGACGGGCACAGAGCATGTCTGATTGGCTAAAGAGACTCTCAGTGCTGTTTTCATTCATGTTTGTTATTACAAAAACACCACAGCAGCATTAAGAGAAAAAGTCTCTAAGTTTTGTTTAAACATAAACAGGTTGATTAACCTTTTTTTTACTGATATTATGATAAATATTTCATATGCTAAACATACTGATAAACGGATAAATTTATTTTTATTTGATTGAATGATGTTTAAGTAGCCAGCTGATAATAGTGAAGGATGGTAATACTCAAAGAGCTTTTTATTTACCAGGTTAACATGAGTTACAGCACAGTTAAGAGTTTGGTGCCACCTTGTGTCAGTCACATGTAAGATTATTCATATTCACAAGATATCTGATAACACTTCACAATAGTTCCATTTGTTAACATTAGTTAACTACATTAGTTAACAGGAACTAACAATAGAAAATACTTCTAAAGCATTTATTAATCCTAGTTAATTTTAATTTCAATATATACGGTGTAGAAAATTATTTTTCAAAGTTGTAAATAAAACAAAGGCTGGAGTTATTAAAGTACATTTTATATTTATATATTTCAGTCTTTCTACTTCGACTCAATGTGTTACTTGCCATTTCTTTGCAATTATTTGTGAAATTTACTAGCAACTTCTAAATGAAAATTATTTGTAAAAATAAATCCTACATCAATTTTTTTTTTCAGTGTACTAATACATTATTAAAATCAAAAGTTTTATCTGTTAATATTATTTAATGGGCCTGAGCTAACATGCACTAACAATGAACAGTTGTATTTATTTTTATTAACTAATTTTAACAAAAATGTATAATTTCTGTGACAAATATATTACTCACAGTTAATTCATTAAATATTAACGGTATATATTGATGTCCCATTTCTTTTCAAATGTTCATGTATAATCTTTTTCAGAAATAGCAGTTTTATTATTTTTGTATTTTTTCCAAATGCTACAGGTTTAAGATAACTCAACTGCCTGAGTCCATATAAATGTGGGATTAACTCCAAGTATGTTAATAAAGGCGGTGGCACAGACGTCAGCTTTACTTCTCTACTGCCGCTGCTCGGTATAATCGTCCTCCCAGATCTTCCAGTTTTTGTCTTTTGTCCAAATCCTGATAGAGTCCAGCAGGAACCTGGTCGATCTCATAGAGCAGCCCATAAAGACAGCCGGCGATCAGACCTGTCGCACTGCTCTCGCCTGAACAAACATTCACAGTGGCACACAATCCGTCAAACGCTCACACACAGTGAATCCACATAAAAACTGAAGGCTTCTGATTAAATGACTGATGTTTTGTAGACAAACATAAACTGTGGATTTGTGTAAATTACTTTACAAAACAAAACTCTTCATTAAAAAATGTAAAATTAATTATCTTTTTTATTGTTTTAAAATTGTCTATTTAAAATTATATTACCATTTTAATTACAATAATTTTTAATGATTGATTTATTAATTTATTTTACTATTTTTTATTTTATTTTCCCATACCTCCATTTGTGTTATTTCAGTTTTAATAACTTCACTATTAAAATAATTAAAAATAAAATAGATTACATTTTTAAATGCTGTAATTTTTTTCAACTATATTGTTGTTGTTTTTGTTTTTTTTATGGCTGAAGATGGATTCTTCACTACATTATTTGCATATTTCCAATAGTATTATTTAATCGTTTTCATGACTTGACTATTATTCTAAAATGTGAAAAATAGTCAGCTAAAATAAAAGCATGTGTATCCAAACATTTGGCTGGTTGTGTACATTCATGAACATGGAAAGAGAACATACAGAGATCACTGAAACAGATTCCGTCACAAGTACAAACTGAGCAGCTGATGTTTCTGCTGTGATTCATGTGTTTATGAATGGTTCCTGACCTCCGTGAAACATGGCCCGTTTGCACAGCTCCTCCCAGCTGGATCCGGCTGCCAGCAGAGCGTCGTACGCAATCATAGGTGCATCGTGACCCCTGCGTCCGGGACAGCCCTCTGAACTCCAGTGCTTGTACAACTGAACACACATACATGACTGAGACGTATTGATCAGATCACCATGAGCACAAGTACTCGTGATGAGCAATTTCTCCAGCAGAAGGTGTGAGCTCTTTTAGGTTTAGAAATGATGATGGAACTAGTCAATTATGACAAAGTTGAAGTTATGAGATAAGTCAGAATTATAAGCTAAAGAGTTGAAATTATCAGATAAAAAGTCATAATTATGACATAAAAAGTCAAAATTCTGAGATACTAAGTCATAATTATAAGTCTAAATATGAGATAAACAGTCATAACTATGAGATAGAAAGTTTAAATTATCAAATAAAAAGTCAATTATGAAATAAAAAGTCAAAATATGAGATAATGTCACAATTATGATGTAAAAAGTTGGAATTTTGAGATACTAAGTCAAAATGATAAGATAAAGTCAAAATATGAGATAAAGTCCCAATTATGAAATTCATAATTGAAAAGTCATAATTATCACAAAGTCAAAATGGTAAGATACTAAGTCATAGCTAAAAGAGAATTATGAGGTAAAAAGTCAAAATTATGAAATATAAAATCAAAATAATGGGATTAAAACGGCATAATTATGATAAAAAGATACTAAGTTATAATTATAAGATAAAGTCAGAATATGAGATAAGTCATAATTATGAGATAAAATGTCGCAATTATGAAACAAAATCCAAATAAGAATAAAATGACATAATTATGATATAAAAAAATTGGAGGTTTGAGATACTAAGTCATAAGATAAAGTTAAAATATGAGATGACATTTTTTTGTCATTATTATGTCATAAAAATTTGAAATTGTGACTTTTGTCTGTCTGTTTAGTTATTTCTGGTGTGATAAGTTAATGTGATTAAACCAAAGGACTGCGGTGAGATAAATGTGTCTGTCTGTGTATGTTACCTTGTCTGTCTCTTCAGCGTCGTATCGGTCAGGGAGTATCGGTTTACTTTGACCGTCTTCTATTCCTCTCTCCTCCAGATAAAACTGCCATTTGGCCTCAAAGTAAAACCACTTCTCCTGATATTCTAGACCGCAGAAGGAAATGCGTCATCAAGACTTTCTGTCATCTTGTTCTTACACTTATAAACATCTGATCTGCTCACCTGCCATATGCCGGATGGTTTTCCTGCAGTATTCCTCTGCTTTGGGAATGACCGTCATGAGGTCACGACCCCAGCTGACCAGCGGCCTACCCTGGATGGCATATGAGGCGAAGAGAGCCGTACACAGAGAGCCCAGGAACCCTGCACACAGAACGAGACACATCAGTGGAGGACTGATTGAGAACGGATGGATGTTCATGTGATGAAGCAGGAGCAGATGAGGCACCTATGGGGTGATTGTGGGTCATTCGACCCGTCTCTATGCTCACTTCAACCAGATTGTCCAGCCGCTCGGGCTGCCAGTAGCGCATACCCACACACATGGCTTTAGTCGCAGCTCCGTGGCCAGAACCTGCATGTACAACATCACGCAGATCATTTACTGAGTGTTTCTGTCATAAACTGATTACAGATCAGAACTGGAATACCTCTCATTCCTGCAGTTCTACACAATTCCGCCCCTTGCATGTGTGTTGATTCAATGTTTTTGTCTAATGTGATCATCAGTTTAACACATTTTACCCTGTTTCAATCCAGCAGGTTGAGCTCCATTCAGAACTGAATCGAGAATGTCTTTGAATTGCAATTCGATTCCTGAATTTGAATTGATTGAGCAAACAGATGCAGAATTGCAATTTGAATGTAACAACGTAGAATTAAAATCAAAAATGTTGTGGCTAGTGCAATTCACATTCACACCTACTGAATGAATTACCCCCATTCAGCTCCTCAGTGTGATTCACAGTGAGCATGTGTGTGTGTCCCATCTGTACCTTTCTCATTGAATGGCGTGTGCCAGGCTAACAGGAAGTTGTGTGGCTTGAGGTTTACGCATCCCTCCACAGTACTGGGCTCTGGAACTCGACCCTGCAGACACACCATGGCCTCCACATAGAGCCGCACCAGCTCCCGGTACAGATCCTCCAGACACCAGTAATCTAACGAGACATGATCAGATCTTCAGGCTGTTTGAGCATGTGTGGCATCCACGGGAGCAGTCATGTGTCAGGACTAATTTAGCCATGATTAACCGCAGCTGATTAGAGTGTTTATCTGAGGTGGATGGAAGGCATTCTGAGGGCATTAGTGCTCCTCTGGGGCTTCGACAGCGAACAGATGAAGGCCACATGAATGCTTGTGTGTCCATGAACCAGAGGCGGCAGGAGCTGTTAGTAAGTCTTGTTAAATCCTGCAGACTCAACATAATCAATATGAGACAAAGCAACAGTCTCCAGTTTAGAATATTTGCAGTGGTTGTTTTTGTCTCTGCAGTCAAATGGTGTTGCAATGTGGATATGTATGGATATGTATGGATAAGTATATGGTGCCCCGCACATGGCATGCAGGGAAAAAAAAGTAAATTGTGCATACGATTTACTAATTTGTTCCCTTGTTTTAAGTAAATTGTGCGATCGATGTAATAATTTGTTCCTTGTTTTTTTAAGTAAATCGTCCACATTCTCATAAACCGATGTAGATGCCTCTCATTTAAAATGATTCCATGCAATGTTGCAAGGCTTTTGAGAATGTCTCTATAACTCATTTCCAACTCAAAATAAAACCCAATTAAAGCGTCTCTGTCCACAACACAGCACAACACACAACTTAAGAGAATTATGAAAATACATTTATGAGAATGCGGACAGGAATTAGAAAGAATATTTTACGAGGGATGAACAAATATAATAATAAATGATATAATAATATCACTTTACGTAAAACAAGGGAATGAATTAGTAAATCATGTGCAAGTAAAAAGAAAATTATGACATTGTGACAAATTGATTGTAATGTCATAATTGTCTTTTGAACAAAGTTATAAGATGAAAAGTCGTAAGATAACAATAAAAAAGTATTAGATAAAAATATAAAAAATCATTACTCATTAATTTTTGTCATAATTATGCCTTAATGTACCAAAATTCTAAACAACAACAAAATATTATTAGATAAAAAGTAATAATTGACATACAAATTAAATTATGAGATAATACATCAAAATATGTTACGGCAAAGTCTAAATTATGACCTAAAAATTATGACAAAGTTTTATGTCATTAGGACTTGACGTAACAAAATAATAACAAAATGTTATATGGCTCAGTCAGCTAATAAAAGCTGTATTTGTCTTGCATGTCAAATCTTGTGGAATGTGGATACGAAGCACTTTTGAAAAAGTGCAGTTATTACATAAAAAGTCATAATTGACTAAATCAAAGTCAAAATTGTAAGATAAGATATACAAGATGATAAATGGATAATTATGACAAAGTCGAAATGATGTAAAAAGTTGAAATTATTTAAGAGTGTGGATAGGATGTGGCACTGTGATCCACTGACTGTCACGACCCTCATGAGCTTTGAACTCAATCCTCCAAAGCATAAAGTGGCTCGTTCGGGCAGCAGGAGCCGCTGTTGTCTGCGGTGAGGACCACGGTCACATAGGGTCTATTTCGGGTCTACTGGACCGGGGATTTAGCGGTCTGGTGGTCCTGCTGGATTACAGCTCTCAGGGACCTCACTAAAGCTCATGTTATTTACGACGCTCCCAGAGATTAGCGTGTCACGGCGCATTAGCATGCAAACGGATCGCCGTGACCCGCAGCTCTATTCTGGGTGTGTGTGAGTCATGTGGAGGAAAGTATCCGTGTCACGTCTGTGTGAGGAAAGGTTGCTGTATTATCATCAATTCACATTTCAGAGGGAGTTAGTGAGGGACGCCGTGGCCAGCAGAGGGATTTCACATGGATTCATCCCTATTCTGAGAGCAAACACAAGCGGAAAGAGTTTACACATGGATTTAAGTGTTATATTTATAGATATGGAACAAATACACTCACATAGTGTTCTGAAATGACAATGGAAAGTTTCCCAGAATTAAGGCAAAAAAATTAGTAATGGTCGATTTTATTGACTATATCCAGTCAAAAGTTTGGCGGTAAGAGTTTTTGAAAGAAGTATCTTCTGCTCACCAAGGCTGCAATTATTTGATTAAAAATACAGTAAACAAAAATTATAATATTATTGCAAATTAAAATAACTGTTTTGTAAGTGAATATATTTCAAAATGTAATTTATTCCTATGATCTAAGCTGAATTTTCAGCATCATTACTGCAGTCTTGAGTGTCACATGATCCTGATTTGCTGCTCAGGAAACGTTTCTGATAATTATCAGTGTTGAATACAGTTGTGCTGCTTCATATTTTTGTGGAAACCATTATACATTTCATTTTTCAGGATTCTTTGATGAATAGAAAGCTCAAAAGAATAGCATTTATTTGAAATATTTAAATAAAAAGTCAATCATGACAAAAAGTTACAATTATGAGATATTAAGCCATAATTATAGAAAGGGAAAATTATTAGATTAAAAAGGTCATAGTTTTGACTTTTTATTTTAGAATTAAGACTTTTTATCTCATATGTAATATTTTATACTTTCAACTTTTTTATCTCAATTTTGATTTGTATGGATTAAAGAGATTAAAAAGTTGAAATTATTAAATACTATGTCACAATTATGAGATGAAAGGTAATAATTATGACAAAAAGTCATAATCATGAGATTCTTTGATGAATGAAAAGAGACGAAAACAGCATTTATTTCAAATGTAAACCTTTTGTTACATTTTAAGTCTTACTGACGCTTTTGATTAGTTTAATGCATCCTTGATAAGTAAAAGGATTAATTTCTTTAAAAAAAAAAAAAAACCTTTTTGAACCATAGTATATAGTTTTGTTTCAGTCTCTCTCACCAGTGATTAGGGCCTCTGCAGTGGTCATGTGCATCAGGACTCCGTCACTGAGTGGCCAGTTATCAGCGTCTAGCTTCAAGGCTCCAAGACCCCCGAGAGTGGCCAGTTCCTGCTGAATCTGTTTCCCTGAGATACACATTTCCCACCGGCCCTTGCGGTATCCCAGGGCATCTCCCACTCCTCCGAGAACCATTGCAGCCTGGAACTTTTCCATGAAGGTGCCAGAGATCCTACAGCATCAAATTGGGCTCCTGAATGGCTGGAGGTGACTTTATTCAGCGCAGACACAACAGCTGTATGTGTGCGGCTCTGGAAGCCCAGCCCTCTGTTTACTCCTGCATGGCTTTATCATCTGAACTCGCTCCAGGCGTTATCAGCAGCTCTTTGTGTGGCGGTGCTGAGCTGCGATCAGGTGTCTCCTAAAAAGGCAACTGCTGTGGCACCAGGGTAAGAGGGTCTGTCATCTGCTCCAGGACCCTCAGAGCGGCACATTACTGTCCCACACACACCAAACACACGAGATCTACTGATGAATTATGCAGCTTATACTCCAGCTGGAGTCTATTCTTCCTGCTCTTATTGTACGGTGACCATACATCCTATTTTTCCTGGCCAGGATTTCTAAATTGCTCAAGATGTCCAGGTTTTGGCTTTGTTTTTCTATTGACCGTCACACTTCAGTACTCATACATTGTATGTACACATATTTGCATTGCTTTGACCATTCTCTGTAGATCCGCCTTCTCGCACACCACGATTGGTTGATTATGTTCAATGCCTGCACATTGTTGGTCTACTATTTTTCAGTCATTACACATCAGCAAGTATGAAAACAATAGGAAAACAAAGCCAAAACCCAGACGTTTTAGGAATTTAGGAACTCCCAGTCAGGACATGTCTGGGAAAAAGAGGACGTACGGTCACCCTACTTTTTTGTGATTATTTATTAGTGTTTGTTATTCTAATCAGAATGACTTGCTCCGCCTTTTCAGCTGAACTCCTCCTCCAATCACATGACTCCATTCCAGTAACGCAACGCCTACTTTTTTTTACAACCCTGTCAATTCCTACGTTTCCTCATTCCGTGTCACTCAGAAACATGTTACAGAAATTAGATGGGTTGCAAATGTTGTTTTATGTTGATAATAATGTGAATTTGGTGACACATCAGATTATCAATTCATACTCGTGCCACAGCATTAACATAATGACAGTGGAGAATGAGTTTTGTTAAATAACTTTTATTTACATACATACATAACACTGATATGATGAGGTGAACTGAACTGACACCGTGATATGACGAATATCACAAAGTGAAGAAAATAAAAACCGTGTTAGAAACTCATCCAGACTAACAGCAGACACAGAGGGTGATCTGATTTAAATATTCCTCCGATAACACAGACGCCTGTAAACAAGTCAAACAATGTGAACAATCAGGATCTCATCAGCATTTGCCAGTGTTTCAATGATGGCTCTTATCCTCATCATTTCATTCATGAGAAATCAGCCTCAGTGATCATATTCATTCAGAAACTCATGAGAATGACGTTCATTAGAGTTCTGATTGAATAATCAGTGACACACCGCAGATGCATTAGTCCAAATACTTATTTTCTTGTCTGTTCAGATATTTCTACTTATACTCTGACTGTTGTGATAGTGCTGCTGGTGATGTGAGTGGAGCTTAAAGGACTAGTTCAGCCAAAACTGAAAATTCGCTCACCATCAGGCCATCCAAGAAGTAGATGAGTTTGTTAATTCATGGGAACAGATTTGGAGAAATGTAGCATTTCATCTGTTGCTCACCGATGGATCCTCTGCAGTGCCATAAGAATGAGATTTCAAACAGTTTATAAAAACAGTACAAATAATCCACAAGTAATCCACACGACTCCGCTCCATCAATTAAGTGTTTGAAAGAAACAAATTCACCAAAGCATTTTTAACTTCAAACCGTTGATTAATTGATGTGGTGTGGATTATTGTGATGTTTTTATCAGCTGTTTGGACTCTCATTCTGACGGCACCCATTCACTGCAGAGGATCCATTGGTGAGCAAGTGATGAAGAAACAAACTCATCTACATCTTGGATGGCCTGAGGGTGAGCACATTTTCAGAAAATTTTCATTTTTGGGTTAACTATTGCTGAAATGGTGAAATCTCAAAACAAAACCATGACACACGTTTGATTGTCGATGTCACATGACTAAATGAAGCTTATTTGCTCTTTCTCATGGTAAAGTTCTGCACAGTTAATACTGTATAAATGACAAAATAACTGGACATGCATCTATATGTTGAGCTTGTGACATGCAGTTGACTCACCGAGACTCATGGGAAACACACTGGTATAAGTGTGCTATGAGGCTAGACAGATTCAGAAGTTCAGTGATGACAGCGCACACGTGATCATGGTGATGTAGTTCAGCCTGGGAGGCCGCTGATCTTCAGCCTCTTGCCAGCAGCAGACTCATAATGTACAAACTCTCTCCGTTTAATAATATATATTTTTAAATGCATTTGTTGTTTTTTTATTAAAAAATTCAGTATAGAGAGGCCTCCCTGTAAGCACTCATTATAGAGTCTTGTGATTTTCTGCAGTCACGATCGGCCGAGCAAATTCCACAAAGTCATCAATGAGCACCGGCCACGCACCTGATGACAAAATAATTAAACACTGGCATAAAATCTCAATTATTGCTTATTATACACTTATTATACATGTTATTGTGAACAATTCATTGGTGGATATTATTCTATAAATAGGGGTGCTCCGATTAGGGTTTTTGAGGCCGATCACCGATCACAGAAAGCAGTATCTGCCAATACCGATCACGATCTTTTTAAAGCCTTCTTTTTAGTATTTATAACTATTTATAGTGATACTCCTAGTGATACTCCAATCGGGATTTTTAGACATTTATTCAGGGCCTGAATTTAATTTTTGAAAATGGGGGGAATTCCCCTCTTAGGTGTCTCGTCAGAGGGGAAGCAGCACGGACTGTGCTTTCACACAGGAGTCCGCTACTGATCCGTGGCTGTTTACCACAAACAACATTTATCCATTATTTTGATTTCAAATCCAAACATTGTCACTGAAAATGCTTTTTCAGCATTGTGATTCTTTTTTTACACAGTACAGTAATACAATCTTTCACAGACATGTTTAAACAATAAACATAAGCAACACATTATTCAATGCTTTTTACTTTTGCATTTACTTCTAGATTTATATATTAAGTTGCTCAAGCAAGTGGCAAAACAATTAAAGTACTTTTCTTACGTTATCACAAACTTACCATTGACAGAAATAGTCAGCTCTACTGCCTTTCCTTTTGCATTGAAATCTTTATTACAAGCAATCCTGCGGTTCATAAACCAAGGAGGCACGCAGGTTGCTGTTGGAATTGTGCAAGTGACAATTCCTGTGTCAACTGTGCAGCGTGCAGACAGCTCGCTTATAGACAGAGGCGATGTGTGGTGATTTGAAACCATTCGCGTATTTTGAGAGAGAAAGAGTGAGAGCGCGCGGTGATTCACTCACACTGTTTGCTAAACACATTTCATTACACCAAATACACCAAATAATGTTCTTTTTAGCAGCATCATATGACCCCTTTAATGAAGAAATATGAAGGTGAGTACCTCACCTTCACCATTATAATTATTTTACCCGCGTCGGACAGAGACTGAGATGGTGCCGCTGCATGTCATGCCAAACCTCTCACAGCAGCGTCATCAGCTTGAGATCGTTTTTTTGAGATCGGCCTTTTTAGAGACCGCCAATCAATCATCCCAACGTGATTATCGGCCGATAGTGATCGGTAGCCGATCAATCGGAGCACCCATATTTATAAATATAAACAGTGGAGATCAAAATTAGAGAACAACCTACAATTTCCTAAATTTCAAGGTCACTGCTTAATTGAGGTTATCCTAACAGGAGTAGAAGCATATTTCATAAATTAAGTTTATAGGGGGAAAAAGTAGGGGGAAAAAATACTATGGACGTCAATGGTGACCATCAACTCTTCAGATACTCACATTTTTCAAAATATCTTCTTTTGTGTTCAACAGAAGAAAGAAACTCGTACAGGTTTGGAACAAGTGGAGGTGAGTAAATGATGAGAGAATTTTCATTCTGGAAGTGAACTACTCCTTTCATTATATGACAAACCCTCTTTAACTGGCAGCATTCAATTTTCACTGAGACTGCAAGATAGCAGGCCGTTCTAAGGTGACTGAAACCCTGCAACAGGAGGTTGTCCAGAAGAAGGCCAAAGGGATGACCCTTTCAGCCATTTCAAGAGAAGCTGGTCATTCCAAATCTGTGATTTCTTGAATACTGCAAGTTTACGATGACACTAATTCATTCAAGTCCCCCAAAAAGGCTGGCCGTCAACGTAAGACAAATGCACAAGAAAAGAGGATAATGCAGAGACTCTCAATGGGGAATCGGTTCAACACTGCAGCTGGAATTGCTCGCCAGTTCAGTGCTGAATAGGGTAAGGATCTGTCTCGGCTCGTTTAAGAGAAGTCCGACTGAAAACACACTCTGCAGTGAACAAGCCTCTCATCAGCAGAATGAATCAAAAGGCTAAGCTCACCTTTGCTGAGGAGCATGTTTTGTGGAGAGAGGAGAACTGGTCCAAAGTTCATTTATTTGGGTCTGATGGGAAACATTATGTTCGGCATCAAACTGGGGGAAGACTGAAGCCCAAGTGCGTAAAGAAGTCAGTGAAAGGTGGAGGAGGAAGTGTCATGGTTTGGGGGATGATTTCTGTAGCAGGAGTTGGGCCTCTTATACAGCTACATGGCAGGGTGAATGCAAATGTTTATCAGAACCTCCTTCAGCAACATGCAGTTGTTGCATCTTCTAATCAGCCTGCAATTTTCATGCAGAACAATGCCCCTGTTACACTGCAAAACAGATAAAGCAGTTCCTTGAAGCTAAGAACACTGAAATAATTAAATAGCCGGCCCAGAGATCTAAACCCAACTGAAAATCTCTGGAAAATCCTTGGCAACAAAGTTATGGCTAAAAAACCCACTACAGTTATCGAACTATGGAAGAAGAGTGGACCAAGATCACAGCAGCACAGTGTGTGAAACCAATGATGTCCTGTGGCCGCAGATGTGCTTAAGTCATTCAAAGCAGGGGCCTAATTTCTGACAGCCGTAACCCTCCAAAATTGTAGTTGTAATCTTCTTTTGTGCTACAGTTTGATTGCACAGATACTATTTAAACTGAACTGAGCTGGATGATGACATCACTGACTTCAATGATGAACTGCCTTTAACTGAAAATTGAGTGTTTACTATTATCCTTTTGCATTGACACACTATTTTGCTATTTTGATACTGTAAAGCTGCTTTGACACAATCTGTATTGTTAAAAGCGCTATATAAATAAAGGTGACTTGACTAAAGTGGTTACTGTTCTCTAATTTTGGTCACTGTGTTTTCCACAAAATTAAGTTTTTTTTTAAATGCCTTGGTTATTTTGTCAAACATGTTAGTATAACAGTGGTATACCCACAGCCAATATTACTTCAAATTTTGAGCGATGAAGATTAACAATACTTCAGAAAAAATCAAGTATTTATAGACTGTTCTCTAATTTTGATCTCCACTGTATAATCTTCATCCAGTCACATGCTTGTTATAAAATCAAGCCCATCCTGCATTTTTCCTCACCGAATATCCAGTTCAAGTATGTCCTTTATAAAAGTAAGTTCATGAATCAGACTCACCCTCCTCGTCATAGTTGGACATGTCATCTGCAATCATGTTTCCAAAGTCCAGCAGCAGGTTCCAAGTGTCTTTAGGGATGGATTTTTTATGATGCTCCTTTGCAGAAACAAGATGGATGAGAAGCAAAACCATCATCAGTTCTTCAGGATTCTCATCATGCATCAAGTGTCAGATCAAACTCCACACATGTATATGAACGCGTGTTTCAGAGAGCAGAATCACACGTTGCATTTTCAGCATTGCTACAGCTTCATCAGCCTCAAATATATACATTATCAACAAAAATAGGACTGGTTTAGTTAAGTATGTAGATCAGATCAGTGATGTGGTGAGAGCGTTCCTGCTGCACAGAGGAAACTTGTGTGAGTGAGCGTTACAGTGACATGAAAGAGCTTGTGGTTTGCTATTATATTTATTCAATAAGTACCAGAAGGAAAGTGTTCCAGAGGTCGAGAAACTTAAAGCGTCCGGTGAGAATGAGATTCCAATAGGCCACGGCCATCTCCAGATCTGAGGCAGAGCGAGACACTGGGTGAAGAATCAAGGTCACTGCAAACCTGTGGAAGCTTGTTTCCACCACAGGATATAAAAAAAAAAAAAAAAAGGTAACTGCGACTTTTTTTATCTTCACTTATTTCTAGCTATTCTGAGATATCAAGTCAAAATTGCAAGATATAAACTCATAATTCTGAGAAGAAACTTTGGAATTGTGAGAAAGAAATATTGTTAGTAGTATTTCAAATGTTTTATTCTGTGGCGTAAACAAAAAAAAACTAAAAAAAGGGAAAAAAAAAAACACCTGGGAGGATGTAAACTCATAATTGCAAGAAAAAAGTCTGAATTGTGAGATAAAAAGTCACAATTACCTTTATTTTTGTCCGATGGTAGAAACAAGCTTCCATTGAAACCAACTAAATACATTGGTGTTTCTATGCAAACACTGACCCGCACTACAGCACGATCCCTGTGTAGGGAACAGCAGAGCCGATGTTTACTAGACTAATCACTCACCTAAACCCTTCTGACCAGGATTCTTGGCAAAGCTAAACGTGAACTGATAGAAATCTTTGAACTTCCCAGAATCCTTCAGCTCCTGCTCTAGTCTGGGTAAAAGACTCTTCAGCTTCTCTGGACTATCACACCTATACAAACAAACACATGCAAAACACACTGTAACTACACAGGGAGAAAATACTGTATCTGCATGGAAATAATGTCAAATTGCCTTAAAACTTCATTGTAAGGTTTTAATTTCTTATTTGTAGTTCATTATTTATTTTTATTGTCTTCTGTAGAGCTGCTTAACAGCTGATGAATTTTGTAACATTAAAGGGGTCCTATTATGCTCTTTTACAAAGTCTTGATTTTGTTTTGGGGGTGTACTAGAACAGGCTCTCATACTAGGTTGTTCGAAAAACACATTATTTTTCATGCTCAAACAGCAACATTACAGACTAACTAAAGTTGAAAAAGTGAAAAAGCATAATAGGACCCCTTTAATACTGTTATTTTCCTGTAGGGCTGCAACTAACGATTATTTTGATAATCGATTAGTTGGACGATAATTTTCTTCTTCTTCGATTAATTGGATCAAATGCCTCTTTCTTTTTTTTTTTATTGACAAAACACACTATTCCACATCCTGCCCAATGCTGTCCTTCAAACAAACGTGCCAACTGAATGCTATGAAAACATACTGTATGGTGAATATATCTCCATGCTATACATTATGTGTAAAAGAGTTATAAAGCACAGGTCAAATGGACAGTTTAAACAGACAAATGGACAAAAAATTTAATGTTTAATTCCCCATATAAAAAATTGAAATAATAATGATGAAGATAGTAAAGAAAAACACAAACTCTGTGTTAACAGATAAGAGGAATGTTCTTGCAGGAACACACACATTCACTCCGAACACAGTAACCTGTTACTGTCATTTCTTTATTCTGTAAATGTAAGAAACGTCTTACATTTATATTCAATCACACTCTGTTATCCCTTTACAGTTACTATCATAACATACTTGAATTACATGTTGACTTTTAAACCTAAATTTAACGTCCAATAACAAATATATCAGCAAAATGAATATTGCGCTGAATATAAATTTTCTCCCTCTTTACTGGGCATCAGAATGAGCTTTATTGCCAGGTATGTTTTCACATACGAGGAATTTGTTTTCATGACAGAAGCTTCCGCAGTGCAGCAGAATGACAGTGACAGAACAAAAACACAGATAATAAAAGAATAAAAAAATAGAACAAGTAAATAAGGAATAACAACATAAATTGACAATTGTATGTGCAGGTATATTACAATAGACAGTTTTTGTATGTACAGGTATATTATGTGCAAATTTGAGGTGTAGACTGAGTATGAGTGTTAGATAAATAAGTGTATG